AAATGCCATTTGCCTTGAATCCCAGATGCATACTTACTGAACCATTTGTATACACTGAAATTTCAACATTATTTGCTACCACAGGTTAACTCTTCTTTAATAGACACATGTGTGTGTGCATGCATGACATATATATATTAAAAAATATATATGCAAGCATACACACACAGACATGGTTTATTAAACCATTTTGCCAAGTCTAATCCTACATAATTTCTGGTACTAATTCCCCCAAATAAAGTCTCTTCCTCCGACTTTTAAATTTTGAGAGTAGAAAAAATATTAATTTCCTCTCTAATTAAATGAAATTTGATCTAAGTTAGGAAGGAAATTAATAACTAAGAACAAAATAATTCTTGTACTAGTCAACGCTTGTCCTAAGTATTGCTAGCAATGTTAAAGAAATACGGATTGTCACAATACAAATCACTGATAGACTGTGCTGTTCTATCAGCTTGATTTTACAGTTGTGCCCACTGGAATCATAGCTCACTTCGGCCCACAATGTCTAAGAACCTATTCCTGCAAATCACTCACTCATTGAAAACACAGCTTATTACTGTATGGGCTATGCCAAAACTCATTAAATAACTGGAAAGGTTCCCAGAGGCTTCAGCATGCTTTGGATTAAAGATCTACATTTCAGTTAAAAATAGCAGGACAATGATTGCACGCAAGTATACACAACAACTGCACAGCACACAGCTACTGTACACACCAAAAAGCATGTGCCAGCACCTGCTTGAATAACGTATCTGCCAACATGTCTGTTTACCACATGTCCAAGTTGCAGCACTTTGCAGAAATCAGTAGTTTCTTGATATCACTGAAAAGTATTTTTTGTCTGCTTTAAGATGACATTTTTCTTTAGCAACTGTTCACTGAAGTCACACTTTTGAATTTAAGGTTAAAAAGTACTTTCCATAAAAATATGCAATTAATGTATTTTTTCAGAGGTAACATCATCCTAACCATTTTAAATTAACAAAGTATTAACCAAGAGAGAAGACATATCTCAAAGGGTTGGTATGATTTATGACAAAGATACTCTCCTTTGACCAGGAGAGTTCTAGTTCTTAATTATCTTTCTTGCAAACTAACTTCTGTCAGCAGTAAGACTGCAAGCAGGGAGATGTATGTCTATCAAAAATGAAGCTGAGCTCTCTGTTCAAAAGCCTCCACTAGAACTTTGTCAACCAGCCAGATGCTGCAGCAAAATCTTCTGTCGGGCAACAGCAAGGCAACTAACTACCTTCTAGCATATCATAAAAAGACTTTTAAAAGATGGTTAAAAAGTCCGCCAGTTCTTGTTAGTTGCTGGTTTTTTCGTCACCTTTTTTTAAAGAAGTCCTTTAAAAATACCAAACATAGCATTCAGGTTCAACCAAAGGGAGCTAACAAATCACCTTGCCCATAAATGTTGCATATTTATATACAGAAGTAAATACAGGAAATACAGGAGTGAAACGAAGATGGACTGTACAAAAAGTGTTTTTCGCTTCCTGCCTCTGCTTCCTTACTGCAGAGTATTTTTGTCTCAAGGAAGCATAAGGAAGAGTTTGACGTGGCTGTAGACCCTTCCCCTCATTTTCCTGTATCCTAGTCTGAACCACAAGCCCCACGGCCACCTCTAGACAACGACCCCAGTAGAAAAGGATGTTGTTCTAGAAAAAGGTAAGGATGTCCCAGGCCCAACTCTGCTCTGCCAGAAGGCAAGGGGACTGCTGTTGTCGACCAGGTACAGCAGAGGAAATGGTAGTAGAGTGGTGTTTCTGACATTGGTGCTGTTCCCTTAGTCCATGGAAAGCAACGGCAAGATTATTCCACAGCCCAACACGTGATGTACAGGATTCTCTCTTCCCTTCTGACTTGTTCTGCCAAGCAGCAGTCAGAAGATGAGGGACCGAGCACGAGGAGCTGGAGCCAACACCCCAGTTCCCTTCACATTACTGAGGCCTCTGCCTGTACTCTCTGAATGCCTGTTTCTTCCACATAAGATCCAACTGAGATGCTGCCTTACAAACCCTTAGCAGACTCACTGTTAACAGGCAGATTCTGGCTGTCACACCCGCGCTCTTATACCCTCATCCTGAAGGGCTTCCAGGAGGAAGGTATGGCTCTGCTTGCATGTGGGAGGGGAAATCTGGCTTTAAATCAGCTGCCCTCCAGGTGCAGTAGGAAAGTGAGAGATCTGATGCTCCAGATAAGTATTCCTAGATGCGGGTTCAGTCTCCCAGGAGAGACAAGGCTATTCGGTTAGATGATTTCTGCTGCTTCTGTTTGATTTTTCAAGATCACTCCCCTGTGCACTTCTAACGACTAGTCTGTTTTCTTCATTTCTTCCCCAGCCAGTAGAGCACTTCATCACATCACGTCTCAGAGGCCCTAGAAAGAACTGCTCTGTGCCGCTTCTGTCTGACTTAGATGAGAAAGGTCTTTGTGCCTGTGAGGTTAGTTTTAATGTTGAAATTGTGGTGAAAAGGGAAAACAACACTGAGCAGAAACAATGGAGCCAGTTTAAAGATCAACGTTCAAAACGCTTAAGAAAGGAGAGTCTGTAATTAGGCCTTGAAATTCTTCATCTCTCTTGGATGAGGTAATTGCTGGAGAAAAAGCAGCCTTCAGTGACGTGCCTTGGAGTCCACAGCTTTCAAACACCGCAGGGGCATCTTATGGGAATCCGCAGACCCAGCGCAACTGGTTATTGTATTAGACTCTCCAACAAGAGCAAGCATGTGGGTACGTGTACACGTGTGCGGGGAGGGAAACACTTTAGTGCACAGTGATAAGCTTTCAAGTACAACCTGATTTATGCTTGATAGTCTAATACCAAATCGTGTTATGAATCCTCTCATTTTTATCAATACATTTACAGTTCAAGCTCCTGAAAGATCAGATATTTGATAATTATGCCCCCAAAATAAATACAACATAAGCCAACCTGCATTTTAATGACTACTTCCTGCAGAAATACAAGTCGATCTCTTAAATTTCACTCCTGACACCTTTTTAATCCAGCAACAATAAGAGAGTCATTATTTTAAAATCTTACTACGTTATATTTCCAGCAATCATTGCAAGAGTTGTGTCCTTAATGTTCTGGCACCCAAGGCAGGAGCAATGTGACTGGTGTGAGATTAGAACAAAATGGCCAAGGATAACACCTGACACTAGTGGATGTGACTTTCTTGCTCCTAGATCAACATGGTGTCTTGCTAAGTCTGGCTTGCAGCTGCAAATGCAAGTGTGTTAAAGAACTGCCAGCCCTGGCAAAGGAGATGGTAGTTGCCAGTGAAGGGACAAGACTGCCATGCTCTAGCCCTGGTAGTGCTTCTGTAAAGGTCCTTGGGAAAGTCCGTCGTGTTGGAGATCCCAAACCTGTATTTGCTGTATTTGCTTGCATAATGATCACACGCACACAAAGGTCATCTGTTGTGACTCCAGAGGACAACATACCACTGTATTTTGAAATGGAATCACATAATAGGGGAGTATCTAGGGCGGTGAGAATGTAATCATTACATGAGTAAATATAGCAACATTAGCAACCGGGCCAAGTACAACCCTGTTTACCAAGGCCAGCTTTTGAAAGAGCTAGGCGGTTTTCAGAACTACTGTCTTTTCTTTAGTGCTCTATTCTTTTAAAATGTGTATCAGAGATGAAAATCCCTGTTACTACAAACCTCACCACCTTCAGTCAGCGAGTCAGGACAGTGAGTGTTAATGCTACCACTCTGTGCTCGATGCAATCGCTCACAGGACTCACTCGGTCGATGCAACCTCTCTAACGCTCTGTTAGAAATGCAGTGGGGAATCGTGCATGAAGATGTCTCTGTATTTGAAAGATCTTTAGCATTACTTGAACACTGGGCATTTTGTATTCAACATGAAAACCATATCAGGAGTTTGCTAAGCTCAACAGTGTTTGCTGTTTATTATTTCAACATCCCCAAGAGTCCCACATTATCCCTACTCATTTTACACAGCCTATTTCCCTTGTTGTTTGCTTTCCGGGGGCCAACTACTTCTTATAATTACCGACAGCTTTTCATTTCTCCTACACTAGTCCATGCAGTTGAAACACTCTGCCACTCTTTGGATAACCTTATCTATAAGAAACTTGTTAAGGTGCTCTGCTCTCCTGGTTTATAGGTCCACTGTACCAGTCACATCCCGAATGCAAACCCCCATGTCTGAGGGTACTTGATCATTAAAGAAAAAAAAAAAAAGAAAGAAAGAAAGAATGCACCAGTCCTCAAAAACAGTCCTTAAAAGTATGTTCATTCCCAGTTGCAAGGACAGTCTGTGCAACTCTATAAAAATAATGGCACGAACACAAGGGAAGGCATAGTCTAGCTTTCAGAACATTGATTGTTGGAGATGTTAATAGTGTAAAAAGAAAGTTGATAATTTAGAGAAAGAAAAAATTCACCTTGTGTCCTACACTGACTTTGCAAGTAGGAAAAAAAACTTTTACTGTTTCTCAGGCTGGGCATATTTTAAATGGAAAATCACTGAGAGGCCACAAGTAAGAAACTAGACTGTGAGAGCCCTGCAGGTTTTCCTCAGTACTACATCTCTATTTGTCAGTGATACAGGTGTGAATGCAATATAGAATCATAGAATAGAATCATAGAATCATTAAGGTTGGAAAAGACCTCTAAGATCATCGAGTCCAACCATCAACCCAACACCACCATGCCCACTAAACCATGTCCCTAAGCGCCTCATCTACATGTCTTTTAAATACTTCCAGGGATGGTGACTCAGCCACTTCCCTGGGCAGCCATCCTGACAGCCGTTACATACCGTCTCGCCTTTTATGGACGGCCAGAATCCCTGGGGTCGGTGAAAGACTACGGTTTACCTGGCTTCGCAGAGACTGAGCTCGCTCACCTCACCTACTCTTCTCATTATTTGTTGAAAAGGAGAGAAGTGGAACAGTGACTAAGGATGGATGATACTTATAAAGGCATATCATCTGCATAGCTTTTCCTCACCTTTGCCTCCTCATTGACATCCCAAGTAAAGGACACAGCATTGAATGCGATTTCTTCAATATTCCCAATGGTATTAAAACTCTCCTTGTAATCAGCTGTAAGAAATAACAAACAAACAAAAGACTCATGAAAAAGGTTTGAACTTTCTCTTTTACAGTTCGTAGTAAATCTTTGCTTTTTCAGCTCGATTGTCTAATGCATCAAAACTACTTCTTGTACTGTTTACGTTGAATTATTAATAAGCTTAATTGCTTATTAATTAATTAAAGAGCAAATTGCAAATACCGAAGCTTGAGTCTTATGCATAGTACATCACTAGCTAACGTTCTTGCAAAATATTGCTTGCTCTCAAAAAGGAATCAGTGTGACTGTGACTGTAGTGGGAATGAGTGGGTGCATTCATTAGCTTGGCCAAGGAATGGCCAAAACTGGAAAATTAACTAAAAGGTATTGAAACATTTAAAGGGACTGTTCAAACCTTGATGTAAATAAACAACATTAAGGTAAATCCTAAAGAAGCTTTCTAAAAGGCTAAGAGCTATCATTGGAGGAAATAATCAGTAGTATACATTTCTTGCCCAGCCATTTCAACTTCCCCAGAAATTACTGCACTAGATGCTGGATTTAAAAAACAAAAAACAACAACAAAAAAACCACCATAAAACAAAGAACCAAAAACACACAAAGATCCTTTCTCCAAAGTGTGTATCATACTAAAACAGCAAACAAACTTAAAGTATTTTCAAATTGTCTAACCACAAAATCTGCACCCTCTTCTCACTTCTTTCCAAAAGGCTGTTAATATTATCAATAAGACAGTATTTCAGAAGGAATGCAAAGGAAGAGGGAGGAAGTCCAAATTTCAAAGATGACCCAACCACCCCCCAAAAACAGTAAGGGTGGAAATTATAATCAAAAAGAGGAACAAGCCCCCTTTTTCTTTCCCTTTGCCAGCCAGTTTAACACATTTTCTTCTTTTTGATGACAGATTAAGAGAAAGACCAGGTTTGTAAGGAGGTAATATCTGCTTGGTTAAAGGAACTTCCAGATTCTTCACGCAAATATATCAACTCTCTCTGGGACATATACATTTCCTTAGAATCCCTCCAGGGTTGTAATGGCTGTAATTGAACTCAGTGCCAGAGGGTTGAGATTATGTCATGCAGCAATCTTGACCTAACGTTTGCCCAAATCTGTGCTTCAGAAGCACGCTGATTCTTAGCTTTGTAATCAGTTATAGAAAGAGGATGTTTTTGTATTCTATAAATGAGACCCCCAAATGGTTTCAATATTCATTTCCTTTGCCCTTCTAAAAATAAACTGTTGGTCTCTAAAAAATAATTTCTCGGTAATAACTGTTTTAAAATCATTTATAACAAAACTATTGCTGCAAGGAGAATTATTTAACATTTGAGACGTGCAATCAGTACACTTTTCTCTCATCTGAAACGCCGGGACGCTGGCATTTCACTGGGCAAGTGAAACTGTGCCTGGGATACATGAATTATTATGGATACAGTAAAAATTCACTGGAACAGCGCAAGATATTTGGTGATGCAGCAAGTGAACATGGTGTTTGAGAGGGCAGGCAGGCTTTTCATTCCCATCATGAACTCAGATCTCCTTTCTAACTGAAGTCATTGGCTTCACTATCTAAATTCAGTGTAAGAATGCAAATGAGAGGAATTAGAAGACACATAAGTAGTTTAATATGCATGTGCACACATCCACCCACCCCTTAAATTTATGATTCACCAGAAAGTGCCTCGTGCAACTGACTGTTGCATATGGGCGTGCTGTGTAGGTGCACTTTGGAAAGACATGAACAAGATGTCTTGTAAAGACACGTGTTTTTTTTCTCTCCTAAAAGGCTGTCAGAACCTCGCATCCCACCAACTCTTCCCTTCCCCCAACACATCCCTCCGCTTCCTTAATTGCCATACACAAATCTCATGGAGTGTCAGTGTGACATGCTGTTTAAAAGCAGAATGCATCCTATTCCCCTCAATATACAGATAATTAAAGAAGGATCCTCAGTAGATTAAGAAAGCATTAACATCCAAGGATATTTGAAAGTTGTTAGCGTGACTACAATTTTTCCTCTTCTGCTGCTGTGAGTTACCAGAAATAGAAAAGTTGGGGTTCTTCGATATGCAAGAAAACAGCTCTACAGGAATTATTTCCACTTTTGTTGGGTAAACTGCATATTAAACAATGGCAGATTTCAACATTAAACACTAATCATTTGCATGCATTACATACCATTGTAGTAGTCTTCAATTTGTGCACATAAATAATACAAACTATCCTGCAAAAAGATATGGGCAAGACTCTGGAGCACAAATAACCCCAATGTAAAGCTTCCACACCCACTCTTTATGTCCATGTTTGAACCTGTTCCAGTGTTTGTCAAATTATGGTACTGATTCTAAATAATTAATATTTGCTGCAATCTAGCATTGTATTCTTTATTTAACATTATTTTAAAAGAAAAAGCTAGTGATCCAATGTCACAGCACAGCATTGTGGAAAAGTCAGCTTTTTTACTTTTTTCCCTCACTCCTACTAAAAACAGTGAAAGTGCCTCCCTCCTTCTTCAGAAAAATCCATAACAGCATATAGCCTAAATTCCGGAAAACACTTTTCCTGCTTGCCTAAATTCTGGAAAACACCTTTCCTTCTTGCTTAATAAGTGTCAAGTCCTCAGGTTTATTCCTCAAGCACTAAGGACTTGCTTACATGTAAGTACATTCTTATCCTATTAATATCAATGCATCTTCAGACCCAGTACAGCATCTAATCCATTCAACTGCCCTTCCTCCCAGGAGGTGCACCAGCCAGTACGCAAAACAAATTAAACCAGTGACCCCTGCACATCTGGCGTGAGGGAACAAGTCACTCTACTTCCTCTGATCTCCGAATATAACTGCAGGCCAGAAGGCAGACAGAGACACCTGTGCCACCAGGGAAAGCAGCACAGAGTCATCACTCCTATCTGAGGGCTGAATAGCTGGACCCCAGAACTAGAACATCCCAAATTAATTTGATTCTCTGCCTGCTAAGGACCAAGTCATGCTCTAGATTAAAAGTGCATTCATAAACAATTAAAAAGGATTCACAGATTGTAAACATGCTACAAACATTAAGTTAAAATAATATTAATGATTATAAACATCTATGGAACAGGTTACACAGATTTATGGCTATTTACAGATAGTTTTAAAGGACTCTAATACATGATTAACCCTTTATATACTGTTGATAGTTGGAGTGAAATCCAAAATAAGAGAGAAGTGGGGCTACCTGCAGATTGCCATCCCTGAAGATGGGATAAATCTGATACACACCCCTGTCCTTAGCAAGCTTCTCTCACTGCCTGTTTAAATGGTTCGCCATGGCATATCCTGACATTTGCTAGTCTCCCTCATAGATACTTCTCGTAGATAATTCTTTCTGTTAACTACACAGGGCCTGGACACTAAGTCAGCATTCCTTTACAGGAGCCCATCAAGGATCTGAATTTTTAATGTAAAGGGAAATCTTCAGAGAGCCACACAATGATTTAGCTTGGAAGAGAGCCCTGGAAGTTATCTGGTTCAACTCCTACCCTACTCCTGCTCAAAGCAGGGCCAACTTCAAATTTGGATGAAGTTGCTCAATTAGATCATCTGATGATAAAACTGGAAGATTTTGCTAAATGCAGTTTGATGCTTGTATGGGAAATGTAGTTGGGAGCCATTCTGCCCTAATAAGCCCAATATCCACAATGTAAGTCCCAAAGAAAACGAAATGTACTTCAGAAACTTGGTAAGAGCTAAGGTTGTATTTCAGTTGTTCTCAAGAAAAAACTACTGAGCAAAATCTAGGTCCTTCTTCTGAAAATGCTGAGGTGAACTGTGCTCTTTCAGTTCTTACATCTAACAGGGAGTGCAGTATCAGTCAGTCTTACTACACCAGCTTTGCTCATGTTTGCAGTCCAAATAAAGAATACGCGCCAAAGTGCCTCAAAAGTCAGCACAGAGCTATTTCATCTCAAACTAATGGAAATATAAAAGACACTCACTTTAAGACAGATAAACACACAGCTCGTGCACAGCACTTGTTTTGCAGAGCATTTTTTTACAGAATATGCATCACAAGCTGACTCGTTCGGGTAAGGGGACTGAAATGTGCTGGTACACCACGAGTGCAGTGGAGTTGGAGGGTGTTGGCACTGCAGTGGAACGAGCTCCTCAGCACATACCTTCAAAGGTATGAGCATTAGCACTGCAAGCTTGTAGGGACTAGCACAAAAAAACAGGCAGACTTCAGAAATAGCTGTGACGTGGCATACTTGCTCTTTTAATGTGTCATGATAGGAGTCATTTGGTCTGGGGTGGAGGTTTTACTGCCTTAACTACCCCAAAGCGCAAAAGAAAAAAAAAAAAAAGTTGGGGAAACAGTTCAGCCAGAACTATGATCATAAGACAAGAGGCAGAGAGGAGATTCAGGAAGAGCTGCTTTGACCAAATACACTTGACTTTAAATAATGCCAACCTCAGTGGAGGCTGCAGCATTTGAAAGTCAAAAGGTATAAAAAGCGTAAGTAGGACCACTTAGGGACTGATTCCCTGATCATCCCTGAAGTCTTGCAGTGCTCTCTCCCAGTAACCCTGCCTTTTTTTCCCCCTCCTCTCTGCCCCCTCTCATTCCTGCCATTCAATGGTTTGGTTCCCTCAGGCGGTCAAAACAAGATAGACTTTGTCTGCTTTGGTCTTGCCGACTCCTTTGACTGGAATCTGCTGCAGACGGCTGCATGTGTAAACTGCACGTGGGAGGGGAGAAGCGCTTGATGTCTAGACACTCCCACAGATTTCAACTTCAGGCTCCTTGGCAGCACGTACGTCTTCTTCCCCTCCTAAAATCTCCCAAGCATGTGGACAGGGCAGTTGTGGCCGAAATGGGCTTGTAAATACCTTAGATGGGATGAACAGGTCTCTCAGGATAGCACGCCAGAGCTTGCTTCTCCCTCACTTCTCTCTGACACCGACAAGACTCAAAAACTGGGGGTGTACGAGTCCTGTGTGCTCCTTTGCAGTCACCATAATAATGGCATCTTCACTCTCAGGCTGCACTTACACATCAGATTAGCTAACAAAACTGTTATGTGGGCTGTTACCGTTACTGGATCAAAGAGTGGATCAGCCTTTGAAAAACTAAGGAAACAAACACTCTGCCACTCCTGAGGAGGTGCAGACCTTGACTTCCCAGCAGCAGAAGGTGGAACACCATTAAATACGCATTAAAATATGCAAGGGGCAGCTCTTCTTTGCGACCACTGAGGACCATCCCTTCTGCATGGTTTCCATCCTGCATCACAGATCCCATAACCCAGTCCTAACAGGGATGAGCCATTGCTAAAAACTGTGGTACAAGCCTTGCAGCCATTGCCAATATACCCCACCACATCCCTGTGCAAGGTACCAGAGCTTTCCACATTCTGCAATCTTCCCTGAAACACGTGGAGATCCTCTTACACTCACCAATGTCGAGGACCCTCTGTTTAGCTGTGTGCTGCCGAGAATGCCAGTATTTCCAGTATTTCAGCTGTTCGTCTCTGTTTTTATCCTCACTGAAAACAACCATGACCACGCTCTAAGAAAATCAACAGCACAAATTGCATTAGTTAATATAATTAATAGAAACACAAAAATTAAAATCTCGCATATGCCTCTAATGCTGATCCAGTCATCACCCTCCCCCAGTACTCTGGTTGTATAAGATTGCCAGTTTTTATTCCAGTCCAATATTGCAATGCACTTAAAGACTCAGGACAGAAGAAATGCAGTTTTAAAATAATGCAGGGCCTAGGATTATGTTCTTGATAGTCCAAATAAAATTTAATCATATTCTTAGATTTAAGACATCTAAGTTCCCTTAAGTAAAAAGTAGTCATTTCAAAGTCAGAGGATCCCCAATTCCAATTCTGATCCAAGTCCAGTCCAAGTGCTGGAGTTCAGATTCTTTGTCACTCTGGAAGATGACATTACACTGTAAGGGATGTGTTGTTATGGAGCTCAGGCTTGCTGGCTAAAGGCAGGGCATTTTTAGTTTTACCACACATAGTCCAAATACCATTCTTGGTAGCAGGACTTTTGCATACATGTATTTAATGACAAGCTCAGTGTGACCATTTACTGAGTTTTGCTGAGCTTTTCAGTTGAAGTTCTCAATTCCCTTTGTTAAACTGTGTGATTCAAAGGAAACAGATTGAAACTTTATGCAAAACTTCACATGAGTAATAAAGGCTTTTTAAAAAGCCCTGCTGTAGGCAAGCAAAACAAAAAACACAAAACAATGAAAGAATGCTCATACTAGGTAAGCTGAACTGAAAAGAAATCACAGAGAACAAAAAATTCACTTTTAAATACCTCTTCTGTTCCCATTCTTCCTTTAACCCTGACTCACCAAGCTCATAAAAAATACCATCAAGCTGTTACATAAGCCAAGGAGCTGGATCACCATTGATTCATGATCTATGTCCCTCCACACAGTCACCACCGTAACCCTTCACGTGCTCTGTGACCAGAATTCTCCGTTCCAGCTATAAAAGCCGAACGTCATCACTGCGTCTTCCATGTCTAGCTACTGCGTGGGCACAAGGCAGTATATGCCGTGGATGAGTTCTGAGTTACGCATAGGCACACTGGCTGGCCATCAGGTATGTGCTGGCTGGCCAGCTGATGCACTAACCAGAAATGGCAGTGCAGACTGTAGCTTTTCCACCAAGGACAGCATTAATCTTTTTCCTCTATGAACCACTTACATGGAACTTGTAGAGGTTTAATACCTTCAAAACCTCTTGCCCCTCTGTCAGGTTTGGATGGAATTGGCAATAAATTTAACCATCGCTTGGCTGGGGGTCTGGCAAGCAGAACATCATCGTGAAAGTTGCGTGTGGTTTCACAATCTTCTGTAAACTGTACATCCTCCAAAAGAAATGGTCTCATCTCTCCTTTACAATTTCCACCTTCTGCTGCCACAGCTTCAAAACTCATGTTGCTGTGCAGTGAATGAAACTTATGAGGACTAGTTTTCAGCCAGACCAGTGAGCTCCTGACTACTGTTTCAGCTGTACAAGTGCTAGAGCTGGCACCACAAAGGGGGAAGAAACGGGTGGCTGGCAGGGAGAGAGACTTTTCAGCAGCAGAGAAGTCTTACATCAGCTTCAGCCAACAATGAAACACCATCATCAGCCTCAAATCCTTAGGAAACCAGGCTAAAAATTAACTGCTATTCAGGTTTACAAATCATTGCCTCTCCTTAGGAAGAGTGTCTCTAAACTTCGTGTATGATAGAAACATACAGGTTGTTATCTGCTTCACTGCTCACATTGATTTTCATTGGTTCCTTCAACTAAAGTCACAACATTTTTACAGTACTTCATTTATTTGGATGGAAACACTTTTGCAGCCTCATACATATGCAGCCCTTCCAGCTTCAGGGTGAAATTTGCAGGGCAGCAACTCTGAAGCTCATTGTTCATTCCAAGGTTACTGGGTTAGGATTTGCTTACTCAGAAACGTTACCAGGGAAATCAGGAGGCCTTTTCACCAGGCAGATGTTGCTGAATACCCAAGTTCCAGTTCTACCCACGGAATCTAAGATGCAAATCATCCATTTTGTCATACTTCTGGGTGAGTATTAAGTGAAAGCTCACACTTACACAATATAAACGATTTAAAATTTATGTCACAAAGGATGGCTTCAACTCTTCGCATTTTATCTGAAATGCACTGGAAAGCAGCTGCTAAAGTGCACAATGATGAGTGAAGATGGACTTACACAGTAGATGTAGCAGTTCTCTTTAAACACCGCAATGATTAAGTTCACCAATGTCAAGTGCAATATTTGTGCAATTACCATTCTGCCAAACCATAAACTGAGGCAGATATGTATATAATTAACTCATAAGATCACACTTTGAAAAAACTGGACCCCAAAATATTTGAGACTACCATCAATATTACTCTCCCACCTTTACATTGGGCATAAGAGTAAGTTTGCTCTGTCCTCTCCCACAAGAAAAAAAAAAAATTAAAAACCAACCAACCACAACTACATTTATCGGCAGAGCTCCATTTCCATCTAGGAAAGAAATTGGACTATACCCTGACTTTGCTGATGGGATGCCGGAAACATTTGTTGTCACCCGTCTCGCTCAGGGTGATGGCGTAGAATTGTCCTTTGTTCAAGTAGGTCATGGGCCCCTCCCCTTGCTTTTGACGCAGAGATTTGGTAGCTTCTAGTGTATACTGAAAAGTGCTGCTGAAAAGACAGGGAGAGAAACACCAACAAAATCCATATCACATTCTCCTTTTCTCTTTGTCCCCATTTATTACGTATTTCATGCATTGTATAAGCAAGGCATAAGAAGCTAATAATAAAATTCCAGGAAAAGGTCACACAGGTATTTAAAAATGCAATTTTCTTTTTTCAAGTTCATCAGATCTGGCAATCAAGCGTAAAACTACCTGGACTGTAAGTCTCTTGGAGCAAAGACTGCATCTTTACTTTCTCTGAAAAGAACCATCATGAAGTACAAGACTACGTACCCCACAGTGACGGTGTCAAATACCAGGAGGGAATTCAGTATGATTTGCAGGAAATCAGCTGCCTCCACAGACATTTAAACTTAGAAGTGTCACAGAGAAATTAAAAAAAAAACAAAAACAAAACTAAAAAAAAACAAAACCAAAACAAACAAACAAACAAAACAGAATAAAACTTGTTGCAAAAGATGGACACGGAAAATGGAAAGTCCAACTGCTATTTTCAGCACATGGCAGAGAAGGAACACAACCAGAAGGGACGGTAGGTTCATTTGTTTAAAGACAATGTGCAATCAAGGTTTTTTCAAGCCTTCTTTTCAAAATTAATCAGACAGAACAAAGTACCTACATTTAGTTGTATCTGCAATCAAGTAAACTCCCTTAGAAAAAGACAAAAATTAGAGAAAAAGAGAGTTTGCTCTTGTGTTGGAAGACAGATTTTAGAAAAGATCCTCCTTCACAGGAGAACTTTCCACCTTTAAAGCCGTTCTCCAACCATGAAAAGTTAAAGCTCCATTAACTAGTGAGCTGTTAGCTGAACACAATTCTCACAGAGCCTCTTCCAGCTGCCTCCTCCAATAACAGGCTTGAACAATAATCCAATAAAAAAAATGCCTGCAGCTCCTCACATTCTCTTAAACGAAAAACAATATTAACCTTGCAGAACAAATCTTCTCTTCAAACTGCATTTGGTCACCACAGGAAGCTTAATGCAAGGATGTCCTCACAAACTGGAGATACAAGGGAAGCATTTTCACAAAGGTCCTAATTCAGCAAAGTATTTAAGCAGTGCTGGAGTAGAACTAAAAGGACGAATATGTTGGTCCAAAACAACAGTGTATCCTTAACTTTCCAGGTCAAGCAAATACTCTGGATCATCATAACACTGCCATAGCAATACAGAAATAAGGGGAAGACAAAAACATTTTTAACTGTCCAATGGAAAAGAAAAATCACTAAAATGCATGAATAATAATAATATTTAAATCCCCACTTGAAGAGAAGGTAGAAGAAAAAAAAATAACCTGGTGCACTGTCTTTCCATCCAAAGGAAGAAGTTTCAGACAGTTTAGTATTAATTGTTTAGTTTAGTATCAATCATTCAATCAAATAAAGACAATTTCTAAGTGTTTCCTAGCTTATAAATGGAAATCCAGTCATTTTTCCAGTTGCTTAGAAGTTACAAATCAAAGCAAAACTAAGGTAAAAAGCAAGCACTAACCTATACCTATCTGACCCACTGTCGGCAGCTTCCCAACAATGCGGTTGCTGCCGATGCGAAGGCTGTCGCGCACAGTGGAAAGGCAGCACGAAGGGGACTGCAGTCCCCTCTGTTGCCGCCCACCATGGTGAGCGCTGCTGTAGTCCCTCTGTGCAAGAGGAACAGAGGCTCTGTCGACACTGGCAAGCAGAACAGCCCCGTCCGAGTGGACTGGAGGAACAGAACCACCGGTGCTGCACACCCAGCACCCATCCTGCTGCACGTGCCTGTCCTGTGGACTGACTGCCCGTTAGCGGTGGGGGCACATCCTCTGATTTAGCGTCACACAAAGGATCTGCAGGTTGTGCGCTGCAAGACTGCTGCATGATGTGCATGCTGAGTGCCCTCGGAGATGCACCTCAAAACCTCCCACAGGACAGAAGGCCTAAAGAGGATGTGTGCTGAGAAGCGCTTAGGATGAACCAAAGTCAGAGACACAGTGTCTTAACAGAGCTGCCTACAGTCTGCCACAGTCTGGTCTTCTGTTTCCTGACATTCTGTGTATTTCAGAAAGACGTCAAAAAATGTAAATCCCAGACATACTGCACCTGGCCAATTTTGCAGTCTCTGTGTGGTACCACTTGGGAATTTTCTTGTTCCCAGCTGGCAATCAAAGTGTGCCCCATAGCAGGAGGATTACTATTACCCATAAAACTTATTGCAGTCACTCAAATGATTATAATACTATTCTGAATCTCACTATGATCCTTAACTAAAGCCCCACGTAGCTGTTAAGGGATCTTCTATCAGGCTTCCAATTAGTTTCATATTCACCACTTCTTTTTTTCAATCTGAAGCTTTCATTTCTGAGTGCCTATCACTTCCAGGTAATTCCGAGGAAAGATGTATTTCGTTTTTCTTAATATGCATTTGGAGGTTTTGTTCTAACGTGGACCTGGGCATGACATGAAAGACTTAATGTCTGAGAATTGTTAACAATGCCGATGCTTCAGGATTCAATTTTATAAATATCCAGTGTAGTAAGTGAGCAGTCTTTGCTAAATATGTTTCATATGTACTGTCTACACAATGATTCTGTTCTGAGCTCACTGCAGTTAATGATTATTTTAATATACCTCAGACAAAAGATCAAGCTGTAAGGAACCTCCACTGCAGAAACAGTCATGTGCCTACTCCAGGAAAAATACGTAGGCATGTTCCTGTTTCTAAAGTGAGAGTAATCTCTCAGATGTAAACAGAACTATTCATGAGCATGAAATGAAGCATCAGCTTATAAATTTTACTGATCACAGTCTTTATCAGTTAAGTGACTCTGCAGTGTTTGCCCATTCTACGCATGCATTTTTCTGTGCTTAGCAGGGAGGACACTATTCCTTTCAAACATCAGATCTGAAACTTTTTTAAAAACTTTTTGGAATTCTTAGGGTTTTTTTACATGGTTTGTAATAGATACTTCATTTATATTATTTTATAGGTAAACATGAAGTACCACAACAAGCAGTGTAAAAAGACAGAGGGTTTCCGAGAAAACCTTCTAGGAGTAACTAGAAAACTAAGAAGGCAAAAATAAAGATGGGAATTCCATAAGGTTGGTGGAGCCAGTTCAACCATCCTGGACATCTGACTTGTGCATCCTGCCATCCTGAAAGGTGGGGAAGACTTTCCATGACCTGGCTGTCAAAGCTGTGCCCTGTTACCTGGGGGACCTCTCTTAACATTTTTAACCTCACATATCTCTGGGGGCTTCAGAGGAGTTACTAACTTAAAACAATGCTGGGGAAAGATAATAGATGAAGATATAAACTGGTTAGATTTGAAAGCTAACACATGCAGGAGAAGAAGGGGAGAGTGCTGCTGAGCAGCATCAAGGGAGCCCTGCAAGTGCCCCAGGGTGATGAAAGGGAGGGTGGGAAGTGGACACAGGCAGCCTCTCCTCGATGCATTCCTACATGATGCCAGTCAACACATTTCAAAACTTACGTCATACCTTGTTTGTTCGTAAATATATTCTTCAGCCCCAGCTGACACACTGCGATACTTCTGAAAAACAACAATTAAATATAGTTTGATACAATCAAAATGCAAATACCAACAAAAGCAGAATTACGTTTATTTAAGGACCTCTAAGAAGAAACCATCAACCATTTAAAACTCAAAATCCCTGAAAACTGGAGTGGACCCTACATGTTCTTTACACTAGAAGTGACAGATAATTCATTTATGTTAAGCTTTTAGAGTTTTTCATAACCTAACTGCTACAGGAATGCTGCTGAAAAAACATCTTCTGCCTTATTAAACTCCTTGTGTACACATTAATATATTCTAAAACAAGTCTGTAAAAATGTACCCCATCTCAAATATAAGTAGATTTTCAAAGGAAATCATAGTTTTCCTAGAGACTTCACTTTTTGTTTTCTTTTGCTTTATTTAAAAATATGTGTGTGGTCAGCTGACCTTAAGGCCTACAACGAAATGCTGACAAAAATTTAGATTGCTATACTGTCTATTTTGAATAGGAGTGGTGACATAGGGTAAGAAAGTATTTTACCTTCAATACAAGATTCTGTTTGAGTGAAACACACACTTTACCAGATGAGAGAGACCTACAGTCACTCTTTAAAAAATGAAAACACATCTATCAAAAAAAAAAATTACATCAAGAGGTGGAATTCTGAAAAAAATGAAATCTTTTTGCACAGACTAAGCAAGGATTTGTACTCTTTCTTCCTGAGCAAATGAGCCCGTTTGTACTCTACTATGTAAGCCTTGCTGCTGCTTCTTGGCTTGCCTTTTGCCTGAAATATGTTTTTGCTGATGTCTCTTTGATTCACTGATGGATCATTACATTTAATCTCCAGGATTTCTTTTGTGATCACCAGTTCGCAATTGAAAGCTGTTTTGTTTCCAGAAGTGTCAAGTCAGGCAATTTTGAAACAGTTTTTAATGTTACCTTATGCACAGCTGTGCCGCAACAAATATCCAGTCTGATACTAGTTAAGTGCAAAGGTATTATGTACCAGTTAGGAATATTTCCTGAAGATCAAAAGTCAAGGATCCATGAGCAATAGAATAGATAAGCTAAATACTCTAGGAAATCTAACATCTGAGGGGTATTACAATAAAGATGGTCCCATATTAACACGTTATTCACGTTTTATATGAAGGCTAGAGGTTTACATTGTCAAAAACATTCGATTTACTTACCTATTCTTGAAAATTTTGTCTATACTATAAAGGACTAATAAATTAATCACAGCTAAATAAGAATATGAAAGAGATGAGAAAGGTATATTTATATAATTGTTAAAATTGTATCTGAAGAACATAGCAAGTGATTGACTGAAGTGTCCACTACCACAGGGATCTATAAAAACTCCGCACTCCTTCAGTATAACAGAACTAAGTCACTCAATAAACACTTTGAAACAATTTCTAAATACGTATTCGTAGTGTGTTTAAAAATCAAGCAGGTGTCAGAGCAAATCCAGTGCAGCCAAACCCAGCCATTCTCACCAAGTGAATAGGAAAACTAGTAAGAACAACTGTATTCCTACTTTAAACCAAAGTTTCTCTTTTGGTACGTTTTGACATTTTACCATATGCTCTCCCCACACCCGCTTCGTACAGCTGTCCCTACACAACAGCACGTGGCTGGAGAAGCCATCAGAACACCGCAGGGGTGAAGCACGTGCCGGGATTTGAGTAGTTGAAAAAAAATGAAGGGACAGGCTAAGTGTTGAGTGAGGCTGCAGCAAGAACTTTCCCAAGTTCTTCCCGCTCCCATGCCACAAGCATGTCAGGGTTTGGGGCTGGAAGGCCACTAACAGCAGCACACTCCTCACCTAACAGCTACAGACAGGGACCTAGCCAAAGTTAGTTGTTCAGTCTCCCTGTACAGTTAATAGGGGAGGTGAAGATGGAGAGGAGTGAGTGCCCCTGGCAAACCATTACACCCACTTTTGGCAATCGGATTTGAATTGCCTCTTTCTCCACAGACTGCAGAGAAAGCCTAGATGACAAGTATCATATCCTGTTATTAATCAATCATTTTAAAAAACACGTGAAAAATATTACCATTGTAACAAAAATTACCATAACATGGAGTTTGGGATGCAAGGCCAACGTATAGACGTAAATTCCCTTTTTACCTCCAAGTTAAACAACTTTGCACAGCACAGACTGGCTGTTCGGGTAGCTCTCAGCAGCTAGAACAAACCAAGGTGATGGAGTCAGTCAGCTACAGCACCCTAGGGAAAGCCATGGGTACGGTACTACTGGGCTCGTACAAAGAGCCATTTACCAGTAACAATGAAAAATAGCTGAAATTACATGATTTGATAATGCAGAGCAGTGTTTCTAATCCAAGGTTTGGTCTTACTGATTTTTCAATGGCAAGCTAGATTTCTTCATCAATTATTCATTTAGTTGACCTAAATGTGTTCTATATCTGAAAATGGATTTCACCTCCAGATGTCCTGATCTATGATGCTTCTGTGGAAACAATTTACTTTTCTATAATATACATACACAAACACACAGTAAATTTCTTATATATTCAGTCAGAATAACTCAGCCTTAATGCAGCCTGCCTTGTACTTTTGTTACATTTACGATTTCATAGAGTTGGAGGAGAAAAATCCAAGGAGAGTTTTACCACCTAAAATCTCTAATTATTTGCAGAGGTACTGTGAGCTTTAAATAATTTTTACCTTTCTATATTTCTGGCTTGTTTGCATTATTTTTCAGCAGGCAAAAGCAGCCAGATGGTACTCACCATATTAAAGCTGGCTGTAGAATTACTTTGCCTCAGCATAACTGTAAAACAGTTACAAGGTAGCTCCTTGTCTCTCTTCTCCTCCTCATTCACCTACATATGCATGCACCCGAGTCTTTCCCTGCCTGTTAACTTCTCCATTCCCCTCCCGTCCTCTAATTCTACTACTTTTTCTCACTTGCCCATGTTGCAGAGTAGAGCTTAGTGCAATAAACAGCTTCTGAATAAATTACTTGGGTTTATCTAGCAGCAGAGGCCGACACCGCTCATTTGCACTTTCAGAACAACATTAAGAATTTCCCAGTTAAAAAGTGGCTGCTATTTCTTACTGTTATGAAGAGCTCTGAAGGTAGATCTTGTTAACGGAAAACAGATCTTCTTTCAGAATGGCAACTATCCTCTACTTGACACAATATCCCACAAGACAAAAGATCAGTATCTATTATTCTCAGAGTTTCCAATAAACAACTCTAAAACTGTCTTCCTAAACGCCTCATGATACTCCCCTATAATCAGAGCACAGACTGACAGGAACACAGCAAGGAGCAGAGATTAATTTGTTGAAACAAGCATCACTGTTCTTCTAATGGCTCTTGTGGACAGCTTAAATCTCATCTTGTTTACAAGCTCAAATCTCCTTGTCTTGTTTACAGCTTTTTATTGAGTTCTTAGATGCTAATTTGAGCCAAAAAACTTACTTCTGTTCCTCCATCTTTGAAGGTGTCACTGTACGTACTGTCAGGAGTACTGCGCTGGTCATCTTTGAGATAATTTGTGTGGGGAGCAATGTTGGACACTTCATACGGTTCAAAGATAACCCCTCGGTGCTCCTCATTTTCTCCTCTTGCATAGTGGGCTTGTGGCGTCATAAAAACAGGGGTGAACTCCTCTGCTTTAACCACAGTCACTCCAGACCCTGTGATGGGCGTAGAGCTCCCAGACACGTTTGTGTTGTATTCCCTTTTGGATGACTCCAAAGGGTCTTGGTTCAAGGAAAGGTTAACCGGCACTGTCTTCAGGACTTGCACGCGGTTCTCTCCCCCACTTAAATTACTCTGAGCTTCCGTGGTATTAAGACAATTTCTGTGAGACAAAACCAAAAAATGTTATGAACTGTCCTAACAGAGTAAACCTCCTCCTTAAATAGCTTAATGTTCTTAGATGGCAGGGAAGGAGATCTTTCAACTCTGATAAGCCATTGCCATAAGAAGTAGTACTTTAACAAATACTAGGCAAAAGACATCGTGAGGCAAGCAGAGAGGTCCAGAGCTCTTTAACAGCTAAGGAGAGAGAACACATTTGATTTGACCTATAATCGGTATGACTTGTTACAATAAATTCTGGGTATCTGTGGTTGCTTTTGCCTTGGCTTATAATTTGGATGCAAAATCAATCCACCAGTGCAACAGCCTTTAGGCACAAAATAAGCATAAAGAGTAAGGCGAAGTATGGATTACTCACAGTACATAGTTTGCATGTGAAATAGGCAGAATATCAACAGCAAAATTTATACGCTGATGCGTGCTCTTTCAGGCCTCTGACAGGCCACTACTGTTCATGTAACTTTGGTACCAATGCTCTTCTGAAAGAGCAAGCCCAGGAATCCCATTGTATCAGAGTAGATCAGTAACTATAGCGGCTGCAAGGTAACCTCCAGCAGCATTCCCACATCTACCCGCGGTTGCTGTTGAAAACAATCTGATTGCGATAGTTGCAATTGCACTGACATAAAATTGTTAACTCGTAAAACTTTTAGTAGGTGTAACACCCTGGTTTGTTTTCAACCCAGGAGATATGTTCTGACAATACAGTTCCTCTCTCTTGGCTTTCCACCAAAGGCCAGTTTCGTTAATCACACTCAACTTGGGAATTTCTCTGGCGTTCGCAGAAGAAAAACTGTCCCTCAAAAAAAGTTTAATATTCTGTTTTGAAACAGTGAATTTATACTACTACCTATTAAAACTTTCACCTTACACAGCTAGTGGAGACAATCTAAGGCTGTCCCGAATTAGCTACATTGAAATAAACCTTCTTTCTACATAAATATACACTCTCGTCCACAAGTCTTAATAAAAGCAGGAGTCAGCTTCCTCTGACTCTTCAAGTCACTTTTAGCCTACAGAGGAGGGCTGAAATCTGAGAGGAGTGAGAAAAACCTTTTGAGCTAATGATTTTAAGAGAGTTACTTTATTTGCTTCTGGGCAGACCCTAAGTTAAATAGAACTGTATAAATCAGGTTACTGAGACCAAACTACTCACTTTTTGCTCTAGAATAAGAAAATTCAAAGAAAAGCAGCCAACAGCCAACTGTCGATATAACCTGATTTTACTAATCTCAGCAGCAGCAAAACAACAAAACGAAACACAAACAAATCATGAAATTTTCTGCTACTTTGCAAATTGCATGTTTTATAATCCTGTTCATTTTTTCTAATAAATTAAAAGTAAAAAGGAGTAAAGTTTGCTTCCCAAAACAGTCTTTATTCTTTTATCTTTTGGAAGAAAACCATAAACCCTCAGGCTATGATAGTTCCTTCAGTTCACAACTGATCAACACTGTAGTAGCTGGGCATATGATTTTGAATAATACTGTACCTTTTATCTTGGTCTTCTTGATTATCACTCACTTTGTTAACAGACAACAGCCTTTTATCTCTGGGAACCTGAGAACAACACCAGGCATGGGGTCAGGTAAATGCAACTGTCAGGTATTTGCAGCTTCAGACTGCTCTACTGCAACAACTAGAAAAATGTAACCATATCAGTGTTGTCTAATTCACAGATGCCAGGAGCTGTTTTCCTTTGGGAGACCGATTGTGAACAGAAAGATAATTTCCAAAGGGAAAAAATGTAGGGATTGTTTTCTTTTCTAGTTCTTGGGCACACCAGTCTGGAGCAAAGCACTCTTCTATATGTCCTTATCTTTGGGATATCAAGCTAGGTCAAGCTATTTCAAAATCAAAGCTTATATTCCCAAACACACACACAAACACACTTTTCACTGAATAATAAAAGATGAGAAGGAAACACGATGCTTTGATGAGCTCTTCATGGAGACCCTTTTAGCTCAGAGGAAAAAGGGGTTTCAATTAAACCACAAGCGCTAGCTAAGTCCTCCTGTTACAGAGCAGTCTGGAGGGTGCAAGACTCGTACCTAGGGGAAGTTTGTGGATCCTTCCCTTTACCAGCATGGGGACAGGTTAGGGCGTGCTGGCATGTCATCAGAGAACACTAACTTCTGGTTGGTGAGTGCATCAACAGCCATGAGAAGTAAAAATCCAGTCAAATCTGGCCCCTCAACAGACTCAGAATTGACACCAAATGACTTAAAAGATTTGTCTTCCCACATACCGGTTTCCTGACACCAGCACAGATATGAAATCACCAAGGGCAAAATTGCTGCCATGACCGTATTTTTCTTTTCTTGCTGAACCAGCAATTTGGGAGCTAAAACTTCTAATCTATCTTTTACAAAAAAAGGTATATCCACCCCATCACAACAGCTAACTCAGGATTAAAGAGCAAGAATAGACCTAAGAATGGGCTAAAGCTGTGCCTTTTATCCTTAAATACTTTAAAGAAATATCAGGAAAATATCTGAATTTAGAGGAAAAACAATACTACAGTGCACTACGACAGCCAAGGTTAACATCAGCTCTATCTGCAAGACAGCAGCAGAATCAGAGTGCTAGCCAGAGCCTTTTCTTCTCTTAGGGACATCCTCTCTCCCTATTAAGCATCCTGCTGGTTAAAAAACCTCTTTCATGTATTTTAGAAGTGGGATCCAAGTCACAGTTTGCACATGTTGATTCCCCTGTTAAGATCACATATTTATCCCTGAAGGAGGGTCTATGTTTGGGTAAATATCGCTACAAGAAAAAGGAGAAGGAAAAAAAAAAAAACAACAGTTAAGTGCAAATAATTCCTATTGACTGGAAATAGTACTTCAAAAAAAACTACAGCATGTCAAAACAAATGAGCCAGATGATAAATAAGGCCAATTCGAGAGAGACTGGTGCACTGCAAGTCCTCCTCTACACTTCCACGATACCGCACAGAGGTTTAAGTTAGGTTTTAAGTTCCTATTTGAGAGCATCAAGAGTTATCCTTTTCTCCCAGTTTAAGACAGAAATAGTTATGATTGAATGCTGAAAATGGCTTTGAGATTAACACAGCTTATTCCATCTGAGCCCCAAGTCTTTTGCAACTGCCTGGAACAAGGAACAGACATGTCTCTTAGAACATAGTTTTGAGAAGGAAAAGGGCTGTTCTCTGTTTTTATTTAAAAAATCCAGCAGATTAATGAACTGCTACATACAAAGGTATTACTAAGACAGAAGCCAACACTCCAGATGCTCATACACATCCTGCATTTTACAAATCCGCATAAACTTCACAGACTCTGGCACTATGGAAACTCTGTCAAGTAGAGAAAAGGACCTTTCTTCTTTCTCATTGGGAAAAGCTTTTCTCTACTGATAACAACACACAAAGGCAAGGAACATCTCTTGAAATATAATCAGTAAAGAAATTAAAACAATATTTAACCATAAGGTTGGTATATGGCATCTTGCCTACAACCCCTTCTCCTGAGCCCTCATTTAATGATCGTAGCAGAGACTAAAAAGAGTAGCGCATTCTCTAAAAGCATTTATACTAATAAATACTGAAAGCAAAGGTTTCCTGCTACTTCACGAATTATGAGGGGAGCTGGCATTGTTCTGCTGGCTTTCACAGAAGATCATCTGTCCAATGCAGGCATACTGAGTGGCTTCAGGAGTACTGAGACAGTTTAAGTGAAATGAACAATTTCATACTTTAGTGCTTGGTAGGCAACACTGATTCCCTTTGCAGAGTACAAAGGGGTCAGCCTGGGTTTCAGGGTGAAATTTCTGCATTACACAGAGATGCACCCTATAGGACTCTCCTCTGATTTCAGCAGAAATCTCAAACATAAAACTATGAAATAAACAAAAAAGAAAGGTAGTATCAAAATGGTAGGTAAAGCCCTGACCTTAGAACCTGACATAAACTGAAACTGTGTCAGTGCTTCCCCTGTAAATTGACTTAGATCTGTCTCTGTGTCCAGCTCCAGTTCTGTCCTCCACCTTTCTATTTAGACTGCAAACTTCCAGTGCAAGGGCTAGACCTTACTGTATGTTTGTATACAGCCTACTGCAATCATTATACAAATAAAAATAACATGGGAAACTGTCAGATGAGAGATACTCCAGTTAAAGAGCAAACTAAAACATGTGTGGAATGAACCACAAAAGCAGACAAACCTACAGATGGACAAAGCCTCCCCTTTTATACTTTTTAAAGAATACTGCAAGTATTCAAGCACAAATAAAAAGGGGGCTAATTCATCCAGTGCTCTTGCAAGGGAAGAGGAAGAACGCTATGCTCAGAAAGAAATCACGGTTACAAATTTAGTAAGGGAATTCTGATTTTGTTTTTTGTCTCCAGAACTAAACACATCACAACAGCCTCAGACAGGCTTCCTAAAATGAAAGGGTGCTTGATGCAAGTATCGGCGAGAAAACAAGATGCAGTGACTTCTGTCTTTGAAAACGAGCTCTTTTGACGCCTCTTAGAGCGGTCCCCTGCTAGTGCAGCAGGGAGGAATAACGATGGAGTTACCTACTTTATAATAGTCATACAATAGGCCAAGAGCAGCAGCACTGTCCTCATCACCATTTATGCTCATCATAGCCTTGGTAGCTGCTGTTAGGGGATTCTCCAAATACGACTTCCAGGCTTCATCTTCGCTGGTGTAGGCTCGTCTGGTGTTGAATGAAGTGTCATTTGGCACTAAGGCCACAAGTCGCTTGTTACTGCATAGACAGGAAGAATAAAATGGTGATCCAGAAAGGATTACTTTATTCACAAGGCATGTTAAAGAACATCACATAGCTCAATGAAAGTGATATGATTACATCAAGCAAGCATCTCTGTATTAAACTTGGTGACATAAATATTTATCAGTATTAGGTATCTTCAGTACTTAACAAAAAAAAATTAAATATGTGCAGATCTTGTGATAATAATTCAAATGTATTTTTACTAATATAAGATAGACCTATCAAAATATTTTAAAACTATTTGGAAAAAAAGGAAGTAACAATATAAGAACATTTTGCCCCAGTATTTCTGCTAGATGTACATCTGATTAGGGAAAAATACGTTTAACTGAAATCAGTTATAATAAGAAGACACGAATGAAAAAAAAGAAAAAGTATCTAATACTAATCTAGTGTTCACCTAAACCGAGTATAGTTCAATATTTAATAACTGGGTACACCTTATAATTGAGCTATTCTCTGCTTTTGGAATGCAATTTGTCTGTACTTTCAGAGAGGTTTTCTGTAACAGGACATGAGCAATGGGTCCAGTGGATGGAGAAGTCAACATATTTGTTCTCAATTCACATTTTATCACTCATCACATCTAGTTACAGACCCATGGCAATACACACAAGACCATTAATAAGTGGGATTTGCAGCAGAGCAGTTTCCTCCAGCCTAAAAGTGGTACAAACTGACCAGTGCCTGTGTATATCACGAGAGAAGCTGCTGCACCACAGCTATGGCTGAAATTTCCAGTATATTGGAAACACAAATGAAGATAATAGTACCTGCTTTTGTAAAATGTTCAATAAACTTAAGGATAAAAGAGCTATGTAAAATAAAATTAAAAAAAAGTTGCATTCCTGTTACACAGGATAGTAGGGAAACAGATTAAGCAAGGAAATAGTGGAGCGAGGGGCATGCTGCTTACTGCGCGTTGCAAGACCACTGTCAACAATTGTGGCTCAAGTTACAAGGATCACAATGAAACTTTTAACACATTACACCTTACAAATTTGAAAGCTGCAAAGACGGCAGAATAACTGAATATACTGATTTAACTGGTGAAACTAGCAGTTATTCCTGGTGACCTTCATAAAACATTTCTTGCCATATTCTACATAAAAACTGTTCATTATTCAGCCTCCTCTTTTTGCTCTCCCCTACCTGCAGCAGTGCCAGCTCCACAGACCTAACCCAACCAACTTCCGCTGTTGCACAGAAAGTGGCATTCAAACACTGTGCAGCCGAGCCTTTTATTTGATTTCAGAAACAGGATTTGATAAAAGCACAACTGAACCCACGCAGTAAACGCTCTCGGACGCCGGGAGTGTGTCTTGCTGCAGCTCCCAAGCCGCAGTGACCGCCAGGCTGGGGCTTCGCCCGGGGCTCCGCCGCTGCCCGAGCCCAACCTGCAAAGTGCCCGCTCCGGTGCTTAAGGAAAAGGAGGGGGATGGTGGAGATTATCATCTCTATGGTACAGAGCACTGTTTACAAGTTTCTTTATTTAATGAAAAACAAAATAATCCACCTGGTACACAGAGCACAGTTTTATGAGCTCTGTGGGGGAAGAGAGCATTTCGTAGCTTCGAATCACAACTTACAGCCAACAATTACAGTTCAGATTACATTTTCCTTTCATCTCAAATATCTGGATTTTGAAAAGCTTCCTTTCTTTTCCGAGCACCTTTCTTTCTGCCTGGCCTTTTGCTGTCTCTTTTAAAGATTTTTATCCTTCTTGTTACCACATACACATTTGTGTTTGTTACAGGTTTGCTTCAGCAAGCAAAGCTGAAGCAGGAGCCCAAGGAAAGACAGAGAGAACGGCTAGGTCCGCTTGCCTTTTCAATACCTTATTGTTAGCGACTCAAATCAGATTTGCAACAGCCCCGCTGTTTGTGCCAGAGGCAGCTGGGGGCCTGTTCCCACTCTGGAGTAGCCAATTCTCCCTGGCTCAGAGGCAATTATTCCAGGCAAGGATTCTTCTTTCCTCAACAAAGCTGCCCTTTAGCTAAACCCGGGCTGTTTCACCGCATGGGCGGCTGCCCATTGCAACGCACAAAATACCGCTTGCTCTCCTTCCTGTAGCAATCTTCCCTTACAATCAATAATTGCCTTTTGTTACTCGGAGCACTCATAGCCATGCGATAGTCATAACTGATTTATGAGCACTACAGGCAGACTGCGAGAAAAACACACCTTTTAAGAGTTGGGCTCTGCTTGTCTGCAGAAATGCTGGAAGGGAGGAGTCAATCTCTGCTGCTCTAACTTAGCCAAGACAATCTTAAAGCAATGAAGACAGTGCTGTCCCTCAGAGGTGTTGGATATGATTGTGTTGGGGAGAAGCTAAAGAAAAGGGGATAAATGGTCTAGGAACAGCCACTCAGTAAGTAAAGAATTGGGGTGGCTGGAAAGGCACAGGTGCATAGACCTAGAGCCTCCCCAACATTTACCCAGAGCACATTTTCTCTAAAACCCAGGTTTTCAGGTTTAAAAACTAAATATCCGTCTCCTCTGGCTTGAGAGATGGTCCGCAGCATAATCAACTGACACACTCACTGTGTTTACTCTGCAAACAGACTGAAACAATAGCACTAAGAAAAATAAAAAACTTCCTCATCACCCCCATCCCTGTAATCAGCTTTGTGGGAGGTTAACAGTCAGACCTAATTATCATGATTTAACATAGTCACTCATTTCAAAGATTATATCCAAAGCAGTCAGCCAAAACAACTGTGCTCTCTTTAAGAAAACTTCTCTATTAATTAAGGTCGTTAGGATGGGAGGGAGGGTTTCTCTTAAGAAATGAGACTTGTGTGTGCACACACATTCCCTTTCCTTTTCCATGACTACTGACCCTCCTGAACAATTTCAGCCAAATGTGACAGAGGGGTAGCAAAGTCCCCGGTAACCAGAGGAGAGAAATACTTTATATTTTAATATATGCCAAGAAAAGCCAACCTCTTGAGCAAGGCTCTGCACAGGTAAGCTCCCCTGGTCCCATCAGGCACCCTTCCATGCCGGGGCACGCCGAGCTGTTCCAGCTGTGTAACTGATGACAGGAGGCAGCTGCTTGGAGGAGAGTGACTCTGGTGGCACCTGGACCACGTGGAAGACAAAGGGTGACACCTACAAGAAACTAAGCGTTCCCACTGGAGAGAGCTGCTCTGAATGCCCCACCTGTGAGAAAAGCCTCAGTTGGGGCCTGCAATTAGCAACACATCTTATCAAAAGCTGCAAATCCATCAATGACCACATTCACGGAGAACCACTCACTTAAGGAAGGAAGATGGGTCAAGATTGCACGTGGAAGACTCTCATTCAACCTGGCCAGCAATACCGGCAAATATCCGCTGTAGCCCCAGGCACATCTAAAATAGCCTGCCAAGGAGCAAAGAACAAGCCCAACCCTGACCACGCCCATTCCTCACTCGGGCTAGCCCACCGCCCCTCTATGTGGTAGTCAGGGTGTGAGCTAAGCAGCACACAGCTCGGGAGGGACGTGCCTGCACAAGCTGAAAGCACACCATTATTTTACCATGGAGATACAGCTTAACAATTGAGGATACTTTGTGCCAAAAAAAGTACATGTTTCCTCTCAAGCTATCAGTTAAGCTTCTAATGAACGCAAAATGTTTCAGTTGTGTTATGTTAAACAGCAGTAGGGGGTTATGTATCTTAATTTATAGGTGTGTGAGGATGAAAGGTATTTTCTGAGGAATGGTCTATCTTAGGAGCTAGATTGCCCTGACACTTGAGTGTTTACGTCAAGACTAAACTTCAGATGGCCTTTATTTTGCAAAATCTTTCTTTTCCCCCAACTGTTTAGTAGAGATTTTCTTGTTTGTACCACCTTACATAATTTGTGTACTTTCCTCGTAAGAAAAGATATACGTAAGATTTATTTTCCAGACTTATACCAGTTATGGGGATTTCTGCATCTGGTAAACTAATATTTTTGAACTTATTTAAAATTAAGATTATGGAATTTTATAAAACCCTATACAAGTGTAGTGTACAAATAGAGATGTCCAAAACTCTGCTCATTTTGTTTCATTTCAGTTACTGCAGTACAACATAAGTTGGAGAGGTACATTGTACTTAATGTCAATGAATTATCTGAATGGAAAGGGCTGGCCTTTCAAGCTCTTCTTCAGATTAGAGATAATGAACTTTCAACAGCCAGCACTTGGGGCCATAAAATCCTACTGCAGGCAAATTCTCACCCAACTTGATGCAATTTGTGAATTAGCTTACACAGAATCAGAAATACCCATTAACACATTCATGAACAATGGTGAAAGGCTGCAGCTTTGTGATCAGAGCTTGCTTTTTATTCAGAAACAAGATGTGCTCCCTGACAGACTCTCTCTCAGCCAAATTGGACGCTCAAGAGCTTTCTGTTGAATTTGCAAAGTTCATGCAGTCCTCAACCTCTTTGCTAAATTTGCCATTGAGCATAAAGCAGACCGATGCAACCATGCTGCATCAAGTACAGCTGCATCCTACTCTCCTCCATCATATGCTCAGCATTACATCCTGATCCGGTTGGTGCTAGTGGGGAAGAAAGTCTCATCCTGCCTGCCCCCCAACTTTTGCCTTCCCCAGGAAATTCACCCCTGAAACACAAAGCAGACTGTTAAACCGCCAAGGTGGGCATCCAGCCCAAGTATTTTCTAAGGCTTTTTTTAATGCTTTTTTGGACATTACATTTGTTCTTTCAACAAATTTAGAAAAAAACAAATAAATTGTAAGAATCGAGGTGTTCCATGCATATCCCTGCAGACTTCTTTGCCCTCTGATAATGCATTAGGACTTCCCCCTCCCTGCAAAGGCTAGGTGCCAGATGGGAACACAGCAAGCAATGTGTGTGAGGCAGCAGGAAAATGGGAGGAATCCCTGTTCCCAGGTTTCAGCCCAGGCCTGAGCCTGCTTGTTCTTATGCCTGTGAGACAGAAGCGCCAAGCACATCTGCGCAGCATCCTCTG